GTGGAAGATGGACATGGAAAAGACTGACCTTGTTTTGTCTAGGCAAAGGGGGTGCAATCAATTTTCCAGTGTCCAGCAGCTTTGTCCACAGTCTTGGCCAGGTCCCGGCAGGCAGCAGGTATCACATCTGAGCATCTCACTCACTGGTCAGTGCTGTCATCATCCAGGTGCAGGAACTGAGGTGCCTCATAATTTTCTTTGTAGACTTTGGGTCACTGTCAGGATCTGGCAGTCTGATATTTTAAACTTTTAAAACAACGTTTTAAATGCCATATGCTGCAGGTCTCTGAAGCATTAGAGGTCTGTCGGCCTGTTTAGTTACTTGCCTTAAGCACACATTAAGCACACAGGTGGCTAGGTAAAGCCTTATTTCTGTATTTAATTTTTAGTCTGACTGTAACAGGTTTTTAACTTAGTAAAATATTTGAAACTTAGCACAGTTGAATTTAAATTATGTATTATATTATATTATTTAAACAGTAGCTACATGAACATATTTTAGCTGCTTGATTAAGCTTAACTTCTGAAAACATAAACTGTAATAATATGTATTTTTAACATCTTAGATTAGCAGCCTTTATAAAACAACTTTACACTGTCAGGCTTTGCTTAAAAATGATTCTGAATTGAAGCTCTAAGTACAAACAATAATAAAAACTTTTTTAAAAAAACATAAACATTCAAAAAATTGGTTTAAAATCCCTTAATGTCTTTCTGTAATATATGGAAGCATTAACAATTTAAATCTTAATTGAAAAACTTGTTTATAAGATGGTACCTCATAATTTCCATGTGGCCAGCTTTAGTCAAGATGATGGTTCAAGTATCTTTTGTCAACTTCAGCAAAATGTCTACCAGGCAGCCATGTGACCAGCTTGCCATGCGGCTGCCTACAAAATGGCAGTAACCTGCACCATTTGTTTTAGCTGTATGCTTGTAACAAAACTTAGGTTATGTCAGGAAACAGAACATTTTAAAACAAGCATATATAATTTACTTGAGAAATAGACAGAACTTTTTAAACAGAAGTAACTTAATTATAATTTTAACTTATAATTCCAATTTTTAAAATTTACTATTTGTAGACATGAGAAACCATAGCAAATAATTTACATTTTTTCTCTGACTTTTAACAACCTTTCCTCTGACCTTTGACAACTTTCCTCTGACCTTCCACGACTTGCTTTGACCCTCTATAACTTTCTATAAACCTTCAGTTCATTCCTGATTTCCTTATACATTCTTAGGCAAATTTCTTTCCCTTTCCCTCTTTATTTTAGTCTCTTACATTTTCTCTCATTTCTCAGTCAACATAAAAACTCTTATCAAAGTCCTTTTTTTAGTTAACTTTAAGGCTATTCTACTTTGGCTCAACCTCCCTGCACTATGTACTCAGAGCAGAAGCCTGGGGGTGGGCTGCTGGTAAGCCTGGTAAGCCCAGACTCTCTGCCCATGCAGGGGTAGGAAAAAGAACCCCTACACAGAGCTTCCCTGCTCCAACATTCTGCATACCACGTGTGTGGAGCACGGAGGTGACCTTGCAAGGCAAATGGTGACCTTGCAAGCCATGTGCTCAGGACAGGGAAACTCCTGCCACATGCTTGGATCCATGGCAGGATGGCAGTTGGGACAGAGAGAGCCCCACTTTGCATGCCTCACAGATGGGCAGGTGAGGATGGAGAGATAGACTCACCTGCACTGGCCAGGTCCAGATGTGAGAGCTGCAGCAGTGGTTGAAGTTCAAAACAGCAGCCTCACCATGTGCTAGGAGACAGGGGACTCCAATGCAGCACACACTAACCCGTGGCACATGGCAGAGGAACTCCTGTCCTGCACGCCACATGCTCAGGGCAGCAAGAAAAGACCCCTGACCCCATGCCATGTGCATGGGCAGTAAGGACAGAGAGAGATGCTTAACAAACACATAGCACAAATGTGAAATTTGGACAGACAGCACAGTAACAGACTAGGGTCCTATTCAGAATTTCAGATGGCTAGCCCCATGGGGTACAACTTGGTCCACAACCAAGTCTCCCCTACAGATTGGCGACCTGTCTGGGTCCCCTTACAGATGGAACAGGCATCTTGCTTCCACCAAGTCCCCTTCATACAGATTGCAGAAGCTGCAGCCTGAACCTCCGCCATTAAAGAGATTGGGGCGTCCCCTCAATTCTCGTCTCCTTCCTTGTAGGCCTACTTACAAATTTGCTATCAAACCCAACATAGGACCTTTACATTTACACAATTAACAGAAACAGCAGACCTGAAAACACAAAACTGACACAGAACTGAAAAGCAGGCAGGCAGGGTGTGGATTGCAACAGATCAGATAACAAACCTGCTCAACTATCCAGTCACACAGCCTGTTCCAACCCTCCAGGCTTTACAGAAACTGTACAGAAACAAAAGACAGAAAAAAAAGTTACCTCGTGTGGCACCACATGACTCAACGAAAAGGGGTGTTGTGGTGGATCCTGAATTGAAAACCAATGATAAAAACACACAGAGACAGAATAGACAGAAAAGAACAGATGCAAACCCAATCTGTCCTCGCAGCTTATAAGGCAATGGCACCAGCAGACAGGCAGCAGAACCAGGCGGCTACAATCACCGCTATCCAATCACAGTCGAGGAAGCCTCACAACCACCAAGACAACTGCAAACCAAAAACCGAACCAAAAGTGTGCTTTTACAGAAACAGAATAGACAGAGACAGAGCCGGCAGACAGTAGACGAGACAGAATAGGTACAGGTACCCGCTTACCTCCAAGATTGACTCCACTCAGGTGAGGGGAGGTTGCAAATCCCAGACGAGCCCCCAAATGAAAGACCCCTGGAGGCTCAGGCTCCCCAGATCTCAGTCCAGGACTGCAGCCACCCCAATCACCATGTGGAGGGCAAAACTTGATGCAAACATCATGAGGCTTTATTGTAGTTGTTTAACGAGCTAACCCCATGTTAGCTTAGGCCTTTCTTCCATCCACCATGGTAGATGGCTAGAAAAGACGCGTTGAAGACATGGAATAGAGATCTTATAGGGTAGTGTAAGGGGAGTATCTAGGGTTACTCACAGACTCAGGACTGGTGTGCCTCTAGGCTTGGAGGGTTTGCCCTGTGTTGATTGGTCAACTGGTTGTTATGGCCCATAGGCCCTCCCAGGGCGGTTGCTATGCTCTGCACATCATTGCTGTGCACTTGTCCGTAAAGCACACCCAGAGCAGTAAAGCATAGCACTACCAGCTAACTTCTGATTGGTTCCTTGCCACAAGGAAGGCATCTGAACTCCTAGTGACCAAAGCAAGGTCAGGCAAGCACGTATTAGGCTGTTATGGCTGCTGAAATGGGGAGCTGGTCCCTTCAGTACAAATGGTCATCTGTCATTATTAAATCATTCTCATATTTTCAGTTCCCACATGTGAACCTGTGACCCCCCTGTTTCAACCCTGCAGTAGCTGGGATTACAGGTGTGTGTATCAATTCTACTATTTATCTTTTCTTTCTATCTTAACTTTTTTTTTTCTGAAACAAGCTGTCACTGGATAGTCTTGCCTGTCTTAGAACTCACTTTGTAGACTGAGCTGGACTCAAACTCACAGAGATCTACGTACATCTGCCTCCTGAGTGCTGGGATTAAAGGCTTATGCCACCACTGCCCTCTGATTTTCATTACTAAAGTCCAAGAGCAAATGCACTTCGGGGAACTAGTTTTTGTGTTCTCATGAACTCAAAAGGAGGACTTTCTGCACAAAAACTTCATATCAAAGTGGGGTTCACTAACATTAATTGTACCTCAGGATTAAGGTATGAGAGTCAACACCTATTTTAGACTCATCTGTGTTCTTCTAAACCCATGTATGTGCAGTCCTTTCATTTGTGATGTCAACACGAATATTCACAGTTCCTTCTGATAGCACTGTTGGAAGATAGGGGATAAAGCAGCAACTGTAGATACCAGGTTACAAAGCATTTCTTAGCCAAGACTAGAAAGAAAGTAAAGGAATTTGGCACTGAAGAGCATAGCTGCTGGGCTTGCTACAGATCCACCTCCTGTCTGCATAGACTCTGGCACTGCTGATCCCATTGTTATTCAGGTAGGCATATTCCTCCACTCCTCCAATGAGAACCCTGAAAATAAACCAAAAACAGTCAATCTGCAGAGCCCAGAACTGCATTCGCACCAGCAATGAAACATTGCCTGTCTCCGCTGCTTGTGTGTAATAGGAATCAAAGGAAGGCAGAGTGCATGAGGAATCATTTGCCTTTGTTTTGCACCTGCTGCCTTTTACATTCTCAGGGTTTGATTTGAACACCATATGTTTGCCATTCATCCATGTTGAACCCTGTAATGCATGTACAAAGCATTTGACTGGTGCTTGATGCCATGTTCAAATGGACTACAGTCCTGGTGGCCTCACTGAGGGTGATTTTTTTATCTGTTTTGGAGCATTTTACATATGGGGAACCCACTTCTTAGTAAATCGCTGAAAGAGCTTTGATGGGCAAGACGGGGCTTGTGATCAAACATTCCAGTACAATGACTCCATTCAAAACAGCCATGCTCCATCCAAGAACTGTCTTGTGTGCTCTCTGATTACAAGACTTTAGAGGAGGTTTCCAATGCCCTTGGAGTCTCTGCTTCTGTGAACAGGAGTAGCCCTGCAGACAGTGGACTGTGAGTCTTGCACTTCTGCAGTGGCTTCCTGAAGTTTCAGAGCCCTCGCTGCCCACCTGAGATTTGTCTCCATTCCACACAGGGCATTTATCAACAGCAAAAAGTTTAAATTGGTGAAGGAGAAGACAATAGCTACCCCAGATGCCATCATCCCAGTAAAGATTTTGAGTAAAACCACACTAAGTGAAACTTTTAAAAATGGTAGCCAATGTTCCTCGGAGACTTTATAGTTGGGTTCACATGACACAGCCATTCTTCTAGAGACACAACTCACACACTTCCCAACAAATGATCACAACAGAAGGAAAAGTGGTATGAAAACATACGGGCCATAATATTCAGTATTGTCTGTCCACATCCAAGGGTGTTCTGGTGACTCTCTGTGCAGGCCAATCCAGTAGTCAAAAGTCCCTTTGTATCTATTCAGGAATTCCTGTCATAGAACACAGAAAGTGAATATATGTGGTTTTTCTGTTTCAGATGACCCTTGAGCGTCCCCACCCCACATCTTCCTCATTAGATGAAGGACACAGTCTTAGGAGCCATAGTAGCCTTCAGTTATCATTAGATCCAGTTGATATCTGTAATTCTTACATACCACATATGAATTAAATTACTGAGTTTAATGACATATCCCTCTGTGGCTGGGACAGTTCCTGACTAAGCCTCCCCCCACAGTTATTAACAGTTGTCACCTTCAGGATGCAACATATGGTAGCCTGGAGAAAATTGCTCATGACCACCAAGTATCTCAATAAAATGTCAGATCTGACCTTCCAGATTGACTGTGAGCACTACCTGAGAGAATGTTTCTTGAATGTCTCAGGGATCCAACCAGAAGTGTTACCATCAGCAAATGGCACACATTCCCATGTTGTCCATGTCTCCCTCTCTGTGGCATGGAATCCTTCCTCGTGTTTCAACTTTAACCTCCCTATCTCAAGGCAGCACATATTACACAGAAAAAAACAAAAAAGCAACTCCTGATGCTTGCCAAAGAAAGACACTTTGTCCCTTTCAGAGCCAGTGAAAGAAATACACAATGGCCCTAAAACTAGAACCAGAAAGCCAAAAATAACAGTAAAAGAAACACATTTTGGCCCTGAAACTAGAGCCCAACTGGCTCTACGCCTATGCAGAAAACTAACCATTCCCTGAACAGAGAGCAGGTCAATCACTTCAGGGATTCAAATTTGACAATCCCTGCCCCCTGGAAAAACCAAATACAACCTGTGTCCACATGGAATTGTTGAGAGAATGAGAGAGAATAAAAATCCCTGAAGGAGCTTTGGGTGAAGACCTTCCTTTACGGTGGAGCTGCAGAGAGGGGAGTAGCAGAGAAGAGCAGTAGAACTTCAACAGCAGAGCAAGCAATGTTGTAACACTTCCGGCAAGACAAACATTCTCTTGACAGAGCAGAAATGTTACACTCCCAGGGACTGGAGCAGAAACAACTTCTCAGGAGAAGCCCTTTCCTGCCAGAGGAGATAGATAACGTGGAGAAGCCCCCCTCTTGAAACAGGGTTGTAAGCTGCTGTGCTTACTGTGTGACCTGTGGTATCCCTTGGCTCTCAAGCTCCAGGATACCTTTCCAACTCAGCTGTATAACAGTATTCTGTGACGCCCAGGTTCCAGGATACCTGCCTCATTGGAGCTGACCTAAAGGCCTACACAGATCCCCGCTAAGAAGAGTTGTGCTATAAGCTCTGCTATAAGACCCTACTACCACATGCCAAGCCTTGTGATAGGAGTGTACCATGGCTTGTCTCCAGGCTCCCCAGGCCTATACATTCCTTATACTCTGGAATAAAGTTGAACTGATACACCGGTCTGTCTCCTGGAAGCCTCCCTTCATCCGTGCTCATGGGCTGCATACAAAGCTTTCTGCACCCCTTCTACATCTTACCCCTCTCAAACTGGGGGCCAACTGGCCCAGGAGGAAAGATGACACCCCACAGATGGCAACAGTACAAGACTTTCATTACACTATTCTGAACAGTGTGGTACTAAAATTGATCACCTCAAAAACTTTTCATTGACTGTAGGGGAAGCTGTAGCCACGCCTTCTTAGGGGCTGGCTACAAGAGTACCTGAGGGCTTGTGAGGGCGTGGTCAGAGTGAGTAGGGGGACTGCGTTTTCGGTTTCGGTTTCTCTTTGCTTCTTGCGGTACAGACTACCACCGGCTGGCTGGTTCGCTCTGTAAGTAAGGCTTTTCCCTATTAAATACCCTTATATTTCTACCTGACTCCGTACTGGTAATTTCTTACTATATCTGGTTGTCAGAAGCGGGATATTGGAAACCCACACCCCATTTGGGACAGGCTGTGGGTTCCATCGGGCCCGCCGCCTAGGCCGGGAAAGCACCCTCTTTCCATAGGCGTTGCAGGCTAGCAGCTGACCCACGGCAGCTGTGTGGCTCAGTCATCCACCCAGTTTCTAGCTGCCTAGAGGTGAGTAAGTTTCGGCTTTCAGCAGAGGCTTCCCCTTGCGGCAGAACGGGAAAGCCAAAGCTGAAAAGCCGTATACTCTCTAAGATAAGCGCAGGCGCTTTTGTG